CACATATCCTAAATATGTAATTGCTGTGGAGCCTTTCCAGTCTATTGGTTACAGGACACTAGAAAAAGGGGAAAGTGAGTACAAATGTAGGCCCTGATCTTTGCAAGTACTTTGAGGAATACCCACGGGGACTGGTCACCTACCTAAAGTATTTGATATATGTTTTTTATAGGATGGAGCCTTGTAATTAGACTGTGCAAAGACACACGTGAATAATTTCATTTGCACGAAGCAGCTCACTGAATTACAAGGAAGCTGTTCTAGTGATTGAAGTGATGAATTGTAGCTGGATTTCCAAGTCAGACCCTTGGCCAAAGGGCATCCCCATGGCCCTGCACGCTCCCTGGCTCCTGGGGGAAGGACTTACATTGTAAATGGACCTCCACATGTGGATCTACCCTAAAAATCAGTGGTACGTGGATGCAGGAACAATAGGGAGAGGTGCTTTAGTCTGCTCTGCCTGAACCTATGAAACTGCTGCTTAAAAACAAGGAAAAAAAGTTCAAAATACTTATTTTTGAGGGATTTGAAACACATCTTGTTCAAGTGCAGTCTAGGTATGGATTGAATGGTCTGTATTCTGAATGATTGATAAAGAACACTATAAAGTGAAATAGCATCTCTGTTTACTTGTAGTAATTTTTGCTTTCAAGTGAAGCCACTCCTGTGGTCCTGGTTGTCTTTAGAGGGGAGGAGAGCAAAGTTCAGAGAGAGAGTTCAGCTTCAGAACATTCGAAATTAAAACTTGAAGGGAAGCCTCAGGTTCCCTTCTTTCCATATAACTTTGAAAGCAAAGAAGATTCAGCCTCAAAAATCGTTTAAGATGTTTAACACTCCATTAAAATTACAAAAGTGGTGTAATTCATTGTTCCCAAAGAGCTCCTTGCTCTCAACCCTTCTTTAAAGGATTGTGTGAGGTATATTTCCATACTACATTATTACCTCCTATTAGGGTGAACGGCTGCTACATCCATACCACAAATTCGTCATACTGGGAGACGTGAATGTGCGAAGGCTGCAAAGGCAAAGCTGCTTGGGTCCTTGAGGAGAGCAGAGGGAGAAGCTGCTGAAAGCCCTGAGGTTTGCAAGAGGCTGCTGAGATCAATGCTTGATCGTGGGCAGCTTACATAAAGCCTGGGTATGCTCGTTCTGGATTTATTTTATTACAACGAAGACCAAATTTGGAGTCTCTCGCTCTTATGATCATATCCCGTGCTTCTTTCCACCCCCTCTTGTTCTTTTTTTTTTTTTTTTTAGATAATTTCCTAAATGCAGAAGATAACCTGATCCGTCACTGTGAAGCTGAAGTTTCTCTTCCTGCCCTTGGTTTCATTGGACTTTTGGACTCTTGAGCATTCCCAGGCACCCCCCTCTGCCTGGGTGCACTCAGCACCCTGAGGCCTCCACACGCACGCCATGCATGATGGGCAGCAAAGAAGACAACAGTGATCTGTACTTAACATTAGGTGGCACAAAAGAGTTTCCTTTTGCTCACAGTAATACTGGAGTATACGGGCAATAACAAACAGATTTTCTTTTCTTTAAATGAAATTTCCTTCCCTATTTTTTTCCCAGCTTTCAAGTATTTTTTGAAGTACTTCTGTTCATAAACTCGCTTGATTTCGTCTCTCATTGCATCTCTTTTGTCTCTTAACATAATTTGTTTTAAAATCACGCATAACCCAGCCCCTGCTGTAGTTGTATTTACAGAACAGCCACAGGGCTTTAAAACAGGCTCATTTCAGTGAAATACCTTTTGTCCTTCATCCAGACCAGTGCTGCCTTTAAGGGCTTCACCTCTCCACACCCTGCGTGTTCAGAGCCAGCATGACCACGTAGGGCATGTTTTACTGTGAAGCTTCTCCTCCGTGTCCTCGGCTGGGGCTGTTTACAAACCGCGGCCATTTACTCCTGGTTTGGTACCCACGCTACTCGCTGCACATTTGTTTCTGCAGTTGACTTAAGAAATGGGATCGGGGGGGGGGGGGAGTTTCCCTTCTTCTCCTGCTGTCATCCTTTCTGAGGCAGTGGCAGGTTGGTGTCCCGCTGCAGAGGCAGCCAGGCTTCACTGCCCAGCACAGGGGCAGCCGCAGGCCGCTCGCCCCAAGACCACGGTGTCTGTGCTGTGCTGCATCTTGCAAAGATTTACAAGAAATATATCAGTTTTATGGTTAAGAAACAAAGCATTGCCCACTGTGTACATCCCAACGCCTCTCGCTAACAGGTACCGGGCTATGGTGGTTGTAGCCATGTGGGAAAGTGCCTGTCCATTCGTCCTTCTGCTGCTGGGTTACGGAGACAAGAGACCTCACTCTGCTCTTGGGTCGCTTCCCGGGACTCCAAAAGGTAATTCTTGCCTCCCGTACACTGTTGGCAGAAGGGTTGGTTATTGTTTTCCCCAAGGTTCGGCTTCAGAACGGGGAAAAGGAAAAAGTAACAGCCCCTTTGGCTGGTGCTGGCCTCAAGTTTGCTGTTTTCCTGCCTCTCCCCAGCAGCCCCCCTCCTCCCCGCGCCATGACCGGCTGCCGGGACTGGAGCTTCCCCGCTTCACCCCATTAGAAGTGATTAACTGTTATTGTTCCTCGCGAACACTCCACGTCCCGCCCGGGGGGGGGGGGGAGCGGGAGGCAGCCCGGGGGGATGCTGTGTAAGGGGGGTCGGGAGCAGGACCCGCGGCCCCTCTGCTGCTGGGAAGGGGGAGGAAGGACGGAACAAAAGAAACTTCCTTCGCGCCCCGATTCCTGCTGCTCGGGTTGGGGGGGGACGGGGACACCCCCCGCTGCTTCCCCATCGGCCGCGGGGACTGCGGGAGGCACCAACCGGGCGGCGGCGGCTGCGCGGGCGCGTAGTACCGCGGTGCGCTGGGGCGAGGCGGGGAGGCAGCGCTGCTATACCTTCTATATATATTTACATACACACACAAATATTTACACATGCTATATATATATATATATATACGCCACCCCCGAAAACGCCGCAGCGCCCCTTTCCCACCCCAACTGCGCATTTTCCGCGGGGCCGCGCAGGTGTAACGCGGCCGCACGGCACGGCCGGGCCCGGGGGCAGTCCCCGCTGCGCGCACCCAGCGCACAAACCACGCAGCGGAGCTGGTCAATATAATTTTTTTCCTTTTTTTTTTTTTTTTTGTAAAAATGTTTATTTAAACCTTTTTTCATTTTTTTTCCTTTTACAACAATAAAATATTGCGTCAATATAAACCCCTTGACTAGAACCTCTCGACAATCAAACGTTACAAGCGACTCGTGTGTTTCGTTATTATTTTTTCCGACACCCATTCAGGCTTTTTCTTTTCTCTTTCTGAAACCTCTTTTTTTTTTCTTTTCTTTTTTTTCTCTTTTTTAACATAATGCGGAATTTATTGAAAATAAATAATTGTTGGCAACTGCAATAGGCAATTTTGGATAAAATAGTTGAAAAAAGCAACCTTTAATGAAAATAGCGTTTATTATACATCAGTTACTAAATGAATAAACTAAATGATCTTTCTTTAAATTAATAACTTCCAAAAAACGTTTAATATACAAAACTGTACAGTTATAAAGTTGGCAGAAATAGGCAGGTCCTCAGTGTCGAGTTTTTTTTCTCTTTGTTTTTATTTTTTCTTTTTTTCTTTTTTTCTTTTTTATTTTTTTATTTTTTTTTTAGCGCTTACTGAAAAATACTTGAAAAATATAAATGTTGAAAGGAAAAATTCTGAGCGCCAGGGAAGGATTTGGGCTGTGCGGGGAGCCGCGGAGCCGGGGGCGGATGCAGAACGGGGCCGCATCGGGCCACTGGGGGTCTTGCGGGGACCCGGGGGGTGCCCGGCCCGGTCCATGCCCGGCGGCCCCGAGCCAGCCCGGCCGTGGGGAGGCTGCGGGAGCAGTGGGTTATCGTGGCCGTGCGCTCCCGCACACTCACCCGCTCATCAATTCCCTTTTGCAAGTGGGTTTGTGGGCGCTGCGCACCCGGCCCTGTGTGCAACACTACTGGGGTGGGCTCGAGGTCAGCACCTCCCCTTGACCAAAAACTGGGGTGGTTGTAGCATTTTAGTGACTTTGTTTTGGTTTTTTTCTCCCTGTTCGTGGTTGCGGTGTTTTGTTTCTGTTTTTCTTAATAAAAGCTTTTCAACAAATCCAGCATCTCCCTGTGACGCGGAAATAAGCTCAGCGTGAACCAAATGCGGGTGTTTGCTGTCCCTCTCCCCTCCAAAAAGAAATCATGAGCCATCCCCCCCCATTCCTCTTCACTATCGAAACAAAATACAGAGAAACCGATTTCCGAAGCCAAAGCGCAGGAGTATAAAGGTGTTTTACTACAGACCTCAGTCTGGCGCTGATTAAAAAGCCCAACTCATCTTCGGAAAGAAAGCGACTGGCAAATGCCACGGGTTTGTTTGCGGTGCTTAATTTCGGATAAATCTCTTTTAAATAATGACTTTTATTATTTTTCTTTTCCCTGGGAGAAGAGGGGAGAGGTCAGGATTGGAACCCGGCCGGTTTACGGTGTTGGGAAGCTCTTGGAAAAGGAAGAGAAAAGCTGCAACAAATAAGCCCGTTTTTCAGAACAGCGCGGGCGGCAGTGGGGTGCGCGGGTCTCCGCGGGCGCGGAGGGGAACCCCGTTCCTCGGGGGGGGGGTGATGGGGAGGGGGAAGGGCCGCGGCCGCCCTGCCCCGTCCCCACCGGGTGACATTGCCGGTGCGTGGGGAAGGGAGAAACGTTTTGCCTGCTCAATTCGATACAAATTAGGTCACAAATATTGTGTACAGTTTGTAGTAAAACACCTCAGACATTTAAAAACGCTATATAAGTCTTTAAAAATGCAAAACTAGTCTATTGTAAAACAGATTCACCTGAAATACAGCTGATATAACCAAGGCGCTGGAAGGTTATTCATAGGCACACATCTGTCTTTCCTTTTCTGTCGGTTTTCTTTCTTTTTTTTTCCTTTTTCCCATGAGGTTTTTTTTTTTTTTCATTTTTTCCTCTTTTTTCCCCCGTTTTGTATGTGTTTTGTTTTTGTTTTTTTTTCCCCTTCGTCTTAGTCGTGACCGAAACCAAACCTTGTCTGCGAGTAAACACCGTGCACTGATCAGCGGAAAGGTCGGAGAGAGAAAAAATATTGCCCAGGCGGCGGGCGGGGAGCACCCGCTCCGCGTCTCCTGCCTCTCGGAAACCATAAGTTAAAGCCCCGGCGGAAAATCCGCGCTGCCCGCAGTCCTGACTGCCCGGACAGCCCCGGTCAGAGGTCGTGGCAGGCCGTGTCCGTTTTCACGCCGTGGGAATAGACGTCGTGCTGCGGCTGCTCGCCCGGCGGGGTCATCCGCTTCTCCTTCTGCCGCCGGTTGCAGAACCAGACCCGCACCACCTCTTTCTCCAGCTGCAGGCTGTCTGCCAGCGAGGAGATCTCCTGGGCGGCCGGCTTGGGGCACTTGAGAAAGTGCGTCTCCAGCACGCCCTTGACACTCACCTCGATGGAGGTGCGCTTCTTCCTCTTCCTCCCCTGCGCCGCGATCTTGTCGATGCTGGTGGGGCTGCCGGTGGAGGAGTCGGCCTCCTCCAGCCACTTGTTCAGCAGCGGCTTCAGCTTGCACATGTTCTTGAAGCTGAGCTGCAGGGCCTCGAAGCGGCAGATGGTGGTCTGCGAGAAGACGTTCCCGTAGAGGGTCCCCAGGGCCAGCCCCACGTCGGCCTGGGTGAAGCCCAGCTTGATGCGCCGCTGCTTGAACTGTTTGGCGAACTGCTCCAGCTCATCCGAGGTCGGCGTCTCCTCGTCCGAGTGGTCCTGGCAGTGGTGCCCGCCCAGCTCTCCGTGCTCCCCGCCGCCCTCGCCCCGCAGCCCCGGGTGCAAGCCCTGCGCGGCGGCGGGCGGCGGGGTCATCCCGCCGTGCTCCAGCATGCCTCCCACCGCGAAGCCCGCCTGCGAGTACACGTTGAGGGGCTGCCCGGCGGCGGCGGCGGCTGCGGGGGGGGCCAGCGAGGCGCTGTGGGCCGGGCTGGCGCCCCAGGCGCTGGGGTGGTTGGCGTGGGGCGAGTGGTGGGAGACGTGGGGCGAGCGGTGGTGGATGATGGCGCCCAGCTGCAGGTCCTCGCGGCCCGGCTTCACGTCGGGCTGCTCCAGCGGGCCGCCGGCCAGCGCCGAGGGCCAGGGCCCGCTGTCGCTGAGGCTGGTCACCCAGTGATGCCCCAGCGGGTGCCCATTGCCCGGGACGCCCTGCAGGTACTCGCTCTGCAGCAGCTTCTGCGGGTTGCGGAAGGGGCTCCCCTGCTGCATGCCCGCGCCGTCCGCATGGGCGAGCGAGCCGGAGCCGAGCAGGCTGTAGGGGTTGGAGGCGGCTGTGGCCATGGCCGCCGCGCAGCCCCTACGAGTTATACTGTGGCGGCGCCGCCGCTTCAGCCTTTGACATCCACCGGCACGGCGGCCCGGGCAGCGGCCGACCGCCGACTGGCAGCAGCGCCGCCCAATGGGGCCGCGCCGCCGGCGGGGCCTCGCCGCACGGGCCAATGGGAGGGGCGGGGAGGCCGGCCGCGGCGGCGGAGGGGCGGGGCGAGGGCGCCCTGGGGGCCGCGCGGGCCCGAGGCAGGAAGTGAATCACTCCGCCGGCACCGGGGGCCGGGCGCGAGGCGGCCCCCGCCGCTTAACTCCTTCCGCGCCGCGCTGCGCTCCGCGCCGGGAGGGGAAGGGAGGGGAGGACGCGGGGCACGGCTTAAATGGGGAGCGATTAGCGCAGGGGGAGCGCGCGGCAGAGGTTAAACGGCGGCGCCCCGGCGACAGCCCCGCGGGACCACCCCTGCGCAGCTGGTGCCGGCCTCAGCCGCGCCTCCGGGACTCTCTCTGCTCCCCCCCCCCCGACCCTGCCCTCCCATCGGTCTGGGCGGGCTCCGCAGACCGGTGCGCGGTGCCCCCCATCCGCCGCGCCGCGCATCCCCCGCCTGCCCCGGGCTGCGCGCTCCGAGGTGCTGTCGGAGAGGCAAAAACTAAGTGGAAAAAAAAACCCCCACACTAAAGATAATAAAAACAGCCCCAAAGGGCTCTTTCCGGTAAACCCGGGAGGTGCCTCTCCTCAAAAGTTCGCAATACGGAACGCACAGGAGCGGTGCGCTGCCGCTGCGCGCCTGGAGTGCGGTCCCCGGGAGAGGAGAAATTACATAAAAAAAACCCCAAACAAACGGAGAGAAAGTGGAAAATAAAGGGGGGAAAAGCGCGTGCGGTCCCCAGGCCCCACCAGGGGGGATGAGGGGTGGGGAGGGGGGGGGAGCTCTGTGCCCCCCGGCTCGACCGGGCCCGACGGGCAGAACCCCGGCGCCGTTCCGCACTCGCGGAATCCCGCCGGGGCAGCAGCGGGACCCTCCGCGGCGGCGGGGTGAGGCAGAGCCCTGGCAGCCCCGGCCCGCTCCCGAGCTAAAAAATGACCTTTCCCTGCATAATTTTGGAGGTAACCTAGCTGCGTAATTATATTTGCACTTACAGAAGACTGCATCAGAGTTCCCTTATTGGTTTGAAATTCCATTAAATATATTGCAAGAGCTCCTAGGTTAAGCTTGATTTAAATTTGCATACATTTTCATATATTTAGCAGAAATAAAAGAAGGCTTGCAGCTACCAGAAAGTCATTAAGGCATTAGTTTCTCTGAGAAGACAGATCTGAAGAAAATTCAAGAAAATGAGAAAATAGATATAAATAAGGTGAGCGCTCCTCTGATTCCTTTATAGCCGGGTAGCGTCGCTTTCCTCATTATAATAATAATAATCGCAATAATTTCTCGCCGGGGCTCGGGCAGGGCGCAGCGTGCGAGAGGGGGCAAAGGCAGGGCTGGCCCTCAAAGAGCAGGGGGTGCGTGGCTGGAGGCAGATCGCGATATATCGGGGAGCCGGCGGGGCCGCCGCTGCGCTGCGCACCCGCGGCCGCTGCGCGCCTGCCGCAGCCCCGGGGGCAACTTGGAAAATAAATGAAAGAGTAAAGTTTGCTGGGAGAGGGGAAGCGAAGAGGAGCGGGAGGAGGGGGGATTGGGGGCGGGAGGTGGAAAATGTCCCCGGGAGAGCTCCGCGGCGAGGGCTGGGAGCAGAGCGGCGTAGCCAGCACCGCGCCCGCGGAAGGCGGGAGGGCACAGAAAGAGTTATATCAGCAGCCCTCTTTCTTTTTTTTTCTTCCCCTTTCTTTCCATTCTCTCCCCCCCCTTCCCCCCCCCGCCCTCCGCCTTTACAAGCTTCTCGAAATAAATATCACCGGAGCGGGCGGGAGAGAAAAAAAAATATAAAAATCAAAAATGCGCGCCGTATAAAAATGTAACTAAATTATTTAAAATTAATTTGCACTTTAACTTCCGAAACCATTTTTCAAATCCCATTGCCCGTGAAAATAGATGTTCGGATCCGCCGTTTAATTAAGACGGAGTCTCTTAGCAGGGAAATAAAACCCCCAACGTCCCATTTTAATATTAGTTGCGAATGTGTCTAAGGCAGAGCCTGGCTCCGCGGCACTCCGCTCCTGACAGCGGAGCCTCTCATCCCGCCTGTATGGTGTATTTTATAGTGTTTTTATCTGCATATAGTTAAATCTTCTTGCTGTTCTAAGTAATCTGCTGGAGAGGGTTTCTTTAGCTCTTTCCTGTCAGTCTAACTTCCCAAGTGTAACAGATGCCGCTCTCAAGCGGTCCTTTCTGCTGCTTTTCTTTATTCAGCCTCGCATATTTCTCCCCATGATCTGGGTTTCCATAGAGAGAGGAATAAAAGGGGGACCATGGCCACAAATCCCCTGCCCCATGCAGAATAAAAGAGCCTTATTCAATAGACGACCCCGTCTGGACATGGGAGAAAAATAAGTACATGCAAAGCTACTGTTGCAAGAATTTGTAACTTATTTTTCATAGACTGAAATCCATTAAAGTTTGGGTTTGTTTTTTTTTTTTTTAACAAGAAAAAGGAAAAGTTTCGGGGTTTGGACCCGCCGCTCCATCCCTCTGTCTTTGGGAACCTCCGCACCGGCGGGACCCGCATTTCCGCGACAAATAACTCCCTTTAATATCTATTTTTTTTTTTCTGCTAAATCTTTGGCATGGAAAAGATCGCACAATAGCTGAAGGCAGCCTACCGTCTTGGGGCAGCTAGAAGTCGCTATAGAGAAAAACCCCCGCTTTGAAGTGGAGGAGCCGTGATTGTGCCGGGTCCCCCTTACCCGGCGGAGGCACAGGCGGGACGAGGGGTCCGGGGCTCCCCGCGTCCTTTCCCCTTCGTGGGCAGCGGCCCCCACGCGTGGAGCCGGAGGGTGGGCGCACCTCGGGGGGCTTTTCCTGAAGACAGACCCACAGATGCCCCTTTAAGAGCCATAACCGAAATGCGGGGTGCGTGTGTTGCGGGTATGTGTGTGTGTGTGTGTGTTTGTGTCCCTAAGCGGCTCTATAGGCTCTTCTCCATAGGTGGGGACCTAGGAGAGAGCGAGCCCAGAGCCAGAGGAACGGGTTTATTATCGTGGCAGAGCTGATTTTATTGTATTCCCCCCCCCCCCCCCATTGTTCATCTGCGGGAGGGGAAAGGAAAAAAAAAAGAGGGAATCTAAAAGGGGTTCGTTTTGATTGTGTTTAATACAGCATGAAGCTCGGAGCGGTAAGCTGTGGCTCGGTGTCATGACCTCTATATTGAAAACTTCACCTTCAACACAAGTTCACTTTAGAGACAGGACGAGTTAGATTGCGCTTGGTGGGAACAAGTGCAAATTTAAACCCAGAGTCAATCAGAACTGGGGTGGGGGCTGGGAAAGGGCAATTTAAGCGGTTCTGAAGGCAGGAGTTAAGGGTTGCATTGTGTGCATCGAGGCGCTGAATCCCAGCACCCATCACCTAGGCGAGCAGGGCTGGGAGAGCAGCTCCTGGGTCTCCGGAGATGCTCTGTGAAAACCCAACCTGCATGGGGGACGGTTAGGAAAAGAGGAATTTGCAGGGTATTAACAGAAATTAGCCAATGCCGACACAAGCTCAATTAGTCCTTTTACTTTTTTTTTACTTTTTCTTTTTTTTTTTCTTTCTTTTTTTTTCTTGGTCTCTGTTGGCTGCTCTTGAACGTGAGTAAACGCTGTGCAGGGAGAGAGGAAGGGAGCCACGGCCAGGAGATGGACTGACAGATTGCAAATTCAAATAGTCCTAATGTAAGAATGAATGCAGCCCCCCTCCCTCCCCTCTCCTACCCCCCAATCTCTCTGAGCACCACCAGCCCGTTAGTAATAAGCCCGGCACGGAGGGAGCGTGGCTGCGGCGGGGCTGGTCCTGCGCCCGGAGAAAGGCTAGGGAGGGACAATAAAGGCAGTGCCGGGCAGAGAAATCACAAGGTAAATGGCATTTGTATTCTAACTGCTGCGGTTTCTAAAGCGTCTGGGGAGGCTCCTCGCTCCCCTGCTCGAATCGCCTATTATTATTATTACCATTATTATTATTATTATTTTCCACACTGTTAATGTTTGAAAAATGTACTTGCTTGAGGAAAAAAAAAAAAGAAAAAGAGAGAAAAAAGAAAGAAAAATGTCATTCGTTTCTGCTCTACCACGTCTTGTTCAGGTCACTGTTATTTTTTAGCTGTGTTGGTTTGCATCAGGTCTCGTCTCGAACATTTGGTTGATTTGCAGTCGAGAGGGGGGAAAAAAACATAGTGTTATATATATCTTCCTGGAAGTGTCTCCAAAGTGCGTATTTTTACCGTGGGACCGGTCTTGCCGTTTATTAAATCCACGTATGGAAGCGTCGGGGTTTGTTGGGATTAATGGAGAAATGTGGCTGGCGAGCGGGGCTCCGGCACAGGGTCCCTTCCCTGGGCGGTTTTTGGCAGCTTTTAAGGTCACGTCAGGAGTTAATAGCACCGCACAACACCTCGGAACGCTACTTCCCTTTTACGTAGGCACTTTCCCCCCCCGCGCCGCTCACACAGGCGTGATGATAAGGACGCGCTCGTTTCACCCCGGCCCGAAATCCCGGGTGGGTTTTTGCGAGGGGTCCTCACCCACCCGCACCAACCCCGGCACCCACCGCCGGGCACCCACGGGCGGGCCTGGGCGTGGATCCCGCTCCCCCCCATCCTCCCAAACCAGAGGCCGTTCTGTCTGTATTTTAGCAACATTCCAAATACAGTTCCTGAAGGGACAGATTTCTGCTCAGACATATTTAAACGGCTGGATTTGAAAACGCACTAAACAGCATGTTATCTAACCTCTGCTGGCCAGCGAGACATTGAATAGCTCCATTCCTTGGATGACAAATACCTGCGTTGTTGTTTGTTAGCTTGCTGGGCAATTTCAGTGCGGTCGTTTCTTTCTGTTGCTGTTTTGCTTAATTTTATTTATTTATTTCAACCATACGTTTTCGCAGCTTTAACATTCAGCATGCAAAAGCATCCAGGGATGCTCCCGATTCTGCAGGGGGATCTAAACGCCTCCTGCATTTTGAAGCTCTTCGTCATTCCTAGGTTCACACGTATAAACGCACGTTATAAACACGTAGATGGTACTGCTAACTCTTTGTTTTCTCGCAGGCGAAATTGTCACGGCTTGTTGGAAAGTTTACTCCCAGTTTCAGCCAGGTCGCGCCAGTCAGAGCTGTTACAAACCCTGAACTTTGAGGCCAGGCTGTGCTGATAAAAGGTGTTTCCTTCATGAACCGCGCTTGGGCGAAGCACAGAAGCTTTGAGGGACCGGGACGCAGATCCAGGGCCCTGATGGGCACTGCCTGGGCCCGGCGCGCCTCGGGCGGCCAGTGATGCTGGAGCCCCCCCAACTCCGCTGCTCCCTTCTGTGCCGCGGCCCCACTGTGCTCCCCAGCAGTAACCCGTCCCCGCAGAGAGAAGCTGAGGGGCTGAGCCCTCTTCAGCCGCTCCTCCCCCGGCATGCGAGGTCCCCTGGCATCTCCTGATACCTTTTCTCTTCCCCTACTCCGCGTCAAGGCACAGGCCGGTAAAAGCCTCTGGAGGCTGTAGAACCCCTTTCCCGGCGCTTCCCCTCCTTGCCTTCCCCTCGAGAGGTGTGGGGGCCGGGAAATAAATAAGTACACCAGCGCGGTCGCCGGGACAAATTAAAGCGCGTTCGGGAGAGTCTCCATCAAAAGGGGGAGACGCAGCCCCTCGGCTGTGCCGCCTGTAAGGAATAAATAGAAACAATTCCAAGTCGAGGGTGCTCGGGGGTAGGGAGGGAGTCGCGCCGGGGCAGGGGTTGCCCAGTGCCGGTCCCAGTTCCGCCCAAGACATGCACTCCGCAAACTTGTGATGAAATCACGGGCGGTATCGATTTTTGGTCCTTTTTTATCATGCTTCAAGCACTGGAAAGTGTCCCTCTTGGGGATGGAGAAGGAGAGCAGGAAGGAGCGGTGCAACGAGGGCTCTGTTGGCCATTGGGACATTTCATGTTTTAGAAAATAAACGGCGTGCCCCAGGGTCCCCCAGAGGGCAGAGGGACTCCCGGGAGGCTTGAGCCAACCCAGTGGAATTGAGGGTTTAACGATGCAAGAGTTGCAGGTACCACTTTGCAGGCCCTTCGCGGACCCACCGGGGCACCCGCGGGGTGGTGAAGCGTGCCCGGGCCGCTGGTCCCCCCGGCACCTGGGAGAACCGGCTCCCCGCCTCGGACAGCACGTTTTTGAATTGCCACGTTCAAGTGTCTCCTATTTGCTGCTCCTGCAAACTGTTTAGAAATTACTAGTAGTGGATAAGTA